GACGATTTTCATTCCAGAATCTGGGTATTGAAAAGGCTACGGCGAGAACATGTCCCTAATCTCACGAGTGGTCATTGCAAGGCAAGCTGAGTCTCATCTAGAAGTGTAATTGCATTTTATGATCAAGGTCACACTTCCGTAATAACACAGGATTGGACTAGATCTAGGGTGGCCAGCCCACAACACAGGTGCCACCAGTGGCACAGGCACGCAGCAGAGTGAGGAGGGGATAAGCAACACAGTGGCAGATAGGGCAGGGAGCAGACAGCAGAGCAGCAGCTTGGGCAGGGTGAAGAAAGCAGAGCAGGAAAGTGGAGGAACTGGGAGAGCAGAGGAAGGGGATTGGAGTGGCACTTGGGAAGGGTGTCGGGGTTACCTTTTGGGCACACCTGCCAGAAAGGTTTGCCCCCACTGGACTAGATGACCCTTGAGGTCCCTTCCAACCCTGTGGTTCTCTAAAGCCGTGGCAGCAGGAGATGCTGGTTCCACTTTCAGTCTGAAAAGGGCGCCTCCACACTTTTGGCCTCCCAGATCATTTATTCCCTTTCATGCTCAAGCTGTCCTGCATTTTGAAGCATGTGCTAAGGGATAAGTCTTAGGGCTTTTACTTAATTGCTGCTTAACTTTGTGGTTATGCTCAGCCTGAAAACCTGCATGTCTTTCAGTCCAAGTCCAGCTCTTTCTCTGTCTTTTGAATATGTCCATTGCTGTACTTGTAAACCAGATCTGCAGGGTACTTGGTATAAGGAGAATCTCCCCTGTGATACAGGTGAGACGGCATAAAATTGCCTCTCAGATTGTGAAGCAGAGCTGGCTAAGCAGAAGGTCAGGGCGATGTCTTGGGACAGCAGAAGAAAAGAACAAGAGACCAAAGAACTTGCTTTGTCCAAGGAGAGAAAAACAAACTAGGATTCCCCAACCAGTGGCCATGTACTTAAACCGATCAGCAGTACTTAACCCGATCAGCTTTGCAGCTATCACGGGCTGAGATCTGATTTTTCTGAGGTGCCTACAGGAGGGCAGTGTCTTGTATTCAGCCACAGTTTTGCATCTGCTGATGGCGTGATGCTGTTCATATTGACGCTACCCCATGCAAAGGAGAGGTAGGTAAATCAGACCAACCAGGCTGCTGGCACCAAGAAAGCATTTATATAGAAATGTATTAACGCCTGACTGCGTAGGAACAGATTTATACTCCCAAGTATAGATTTTTTTTCTCCTTACCTAAGAAACATTTTGGACAAACCAGTATAATTACTCCATATCTGTAAGCTCGGTGCTAAGCATCCCTGTGATTCTTTCTTATCCTTTTCACCTGGATTTGCAAGTGTTTTCTGAGACACCAGTGCTAACAAGCTGCCTTCTCATGGCCAGGCAGAGAGAGCCTCTCTTTACACAGGTCTGGGCTGCGTGAGAGACTTAGGACAGTGTATTTCTCTGCTCCTGCTACACATTTTCATGCATGCCTGGAAGGCCAGTCTATCTGATGCTGGTCAAAAACATTACGCTGCCCAAAACCTTTTTACACATATATCAAAAAGGAAGCTGCCTTGAGATGACCACATGAAAAATTGATAGCCTGACCTGTAACGAGGCAGATATTTTGTATGGCAGTAAAGCTACAGTGTAGAGTAAGCTGGAAGGTAAGACTCGCTGCTGAAGATAACAATGAGGTATTAGGGTGTGAGGGCTTTTCCGCCAAAGGTGTTACATGTGCAGGGATAGGAATATGAACGGAAAGATTCAAGACACAGTTTGAATGCTGGGATTGTCCCGTCCTTCCCCCGATGTTCAGCCTCTTGCTAAGCCTCACGGCATGCTTCTGGAGGCCGACACAGTCACGGGCTGGAACTACGAGTGCCTCAATCTTTAGGATTGGAAAATGTCCAGCAGAGAACAACAAAAATGATTAGAGACTGGGAAACATGACTTATGAGGAAAGGCCGAAAGAACGAGGACTGTTTAGTCTGGAGAAGACTGAGGGGGAATTTGATAACAGTCTTCAAATACCTGACGAGCAATTATAATGAGAATGGAGACGTTTAGGCTCAAATCACAGCAGAGGAAATTTAAGCTGGAAATTAGGAAGAACTTTCTAAGTGTGGTTAAACCTTGGAAGAAGCTGCCTAGAGAAGTCGTGGAGTCTCCATCTCTGGAAATTTTCAAGAAGGGGTTGTACATGCACTTGTCTGGGATGGTTTAATCGGGGATAACCCTGCCCTGAGTAGGGGGCTGGACTGGATGGCTTCATGAGATCCCTTCCAGCCCTACTTTCCTAGGATCCTAAGTGTAGACTTCAGATGTGGTCAGGAACTGAAACACCGCAATGACAAGTGTAGATTGCAAGCCTAGCATCGGCCTAATTTATGGATCAGATGCATGTAAGCTTGTATAGATCGAAGTGCTCAGCATATACAATAAGTAATAGCCTGGGAAAGTAGAATAAAATCTGTTGGTCAAGGCCATCAGTAACAGGCTGGGCCAGGTGCTGATAATTGCTTTTTGGAAAGCACCAATAGTAGCTAAAGGGAACAGCTGCAGTAACCCAGTGTTTTTTCTTGTGATGAGAAAAACTCAATTATGCGTAGCTAGTTAGAGTCCTGTTAAAATGACAGCGTGCTCTTGTTAACGAAATACGTTAAGGCAGAAATGTGCAATCACTTGTTGCAAGCATTGACCATTTTCAGCCCTGACCACCAAAGCCAAGCAACAGAAGCTAAAGCAGAAGGCCCAAAAAGCCCAAAAAGCTTTTTTTAAGTGACTACAGAGTGAGCCTTTGCAGATGTGACAACTATTTTGGTCAGCAAAGGAAAGAAAGCAGTTAACACCTCCAGCTAAAACAGATCAGACTGAGCAGAGCAAAAGGCCTGAAAGAAAACATTGGAAGAGAAGGCCTGAAAATAGATAATCCAAATGCGCTATATCATGGTTTTATTTTAAGAATGTTAGAAGTAGCGATTGATGTAACCAAATGTATTGTGTGTATAATAGACATATTTCTTAGATAAGTTGTGGAAACAAAGCGGCCTTGTTGGCGAAGACCGTAAACCAAGGTGAAAGGAAAACAGGATCCCCAGGTGGTAAAGGAAGGAGATAAGAAATCCTCCTTTCCAGCACTGTAATTTTCACAGGGACATAAATCCCTTCTAATTGACACCTTCCCAGTTCATAAGAAAACTGGTTCAGTCCAGTTCCTAAAACTTCAGCGAGACAAAGAAATATGAATAAATCACTCCAAGGATGTTTATTAGACAATTAGAAGTCGTCGGGTATAAGTGTAGGGTGGAGACAGGAGGGAAACTTGGGGAAGTCCACATGCCACCTCCCTCCTGAGTCTCCCCGCCTGGTGTAGGTAAGAACCTGTGAGACACTGGTCAGGGTAGCTGGACATTGAAATAAATGTTTATTCTTGTGCTTTTGGGATGTGACAGGCAAAGGTCGGGCTGTAGATCTGTCTTTTGCCTCTTTTCTGACCTGAGTGGTTATAATTAAGGGAATTAGAACTGGATTTCAATTTTGCATTTAAAGAATAATCATTAAGAGAATTGTAGCTGCACCTTAAGTCTGTGTCTAAGCTGGCAAAAGAGGTCCAAATATAGACGGGCTGTAGTCTTGTCTCACTAAAGGCCAAACAGTCATGAGTTTTTGATAACATAAGGGTTTCACCTCCCGTCACTTACAGATGAAAATAGCAATGCTATTTTATCACTATTATTTCATCTGTATTTTTATGACCGGGATCTAGCCACTCTAAGCACGTGTAGTTTGCCTCATCCGGTTTTCTTCGCAGCGCTGCATTCGTATCGGCAACAGCACCTGCTGGTTCACAGAGAGGCATGGGATAAGACTGGCTCGATGTGCTGCCTGTCCTAGGCTCTAGCACTTGTTCTGTATGTTGCAAATAAAAAAAAGACAGATTTTCCTTCACCCCAGCACTAGAAAGCCTCAGGAAAGCAAATTCAAACCGTATCCTACTTAACCACCCCTGACAGCACTCAGTATGCTCCTCCCCACGATGCTGGCTATTTTGGACCAAACAAGTGAGTTGTAGAGCAGAGGGGCCCCTCTTGGAGGATGCTCTGGCAGCAGATCTGTATCTTACACAGCAGGTTGGCTTGAGCTTCTGGAAAGGAACCCACCAGGCACCAGTTAAGTGGTTCTGTTAAGAGCTAACGGAGGGGGAACGAACAGGGAAGTTGCTGTTTAGTCCTTATAGATTTCCTAGACATTAGGGCTGGAAGGGACCTCGCAAGATCATCGAGTCCAGCCCCTGCCCCAGGGGCAGGAAGTCAGCTGGGGTCAAAGGATCCCAGCCAGATCAGCATCCAAGTGTTTCTTGAAAGCATCCAGGGTAGGTGCATGCACCACCTCTGCAGGGAGTCTATTCCAGGCCCTCGGACAGTAAAGAGGTTTTTTCCCTATATCCAGCCTAAAATGGTCTTCCAGGAGTTTGTGACCATTGGACCTTGTCTTCCCTTGGGGTGCCCTGGTGAACGAACAGGGATGCTGCCATCCTGTCCTTCACAGACTCCTTGTATTAATGGGTCCAGTTCTACGTAGTTCATGAGACTTGGTTCTACACAGGGTGCTCATTCGGAGGGGTACTTGGGCATCAAGCCATGGACATATTTTAAAAAGAGCTAGAAGCACAGCTGGAATTAGTCCAAGCTTGGGCATAGCTTAGTTGTGCTCTGTAGGAAACTGGTTGTCTTGATGGGGACAAGTTGGTTCTTTCAAAATGGCTGTCAGTGAAGGCTCCAAGCTTCATTCTCCTCCAGTTTAGCCCAGTTGAATGCCAGGATGTCAAACAGGTTGCTCCTCATTCTGCCCAGTGTAAGTGGGAACACAGTCTGGGCTCATGTGTCTTTCCTGTCTGTTTGTTTGCTTGCTTTCATCTTGAGCTCGAATGGGTTTACCTGTTGTCTTTTATTAGCAGGACTAACAAAAGGAGCAGGATTTCCAGTCCATTAGGAATCGCAGTATTTGTTTATCGTTTGTAGGGGCTACGTTAAGCATGAGACCTGCTCCTATCCCAGTAGAAGAGCCAGAATGGAGACAGACACCTCCCCCAGTCACAGCTACCTCTGGGACCTTCAGACTACGGCGGGGCAGTCGGTTCACGTGGAGGAAGGAGTGCCTGGCTGTTATGGAGAGGTATGTGTCTCCTTGGGGCCGCAGCGGCGCATGTTTCGGAGGGGAAGTAGATCAAAGTACTGTTTGTCCCTGTTCTGAAGACAGCAGCTCTCATGCATGTGTTTCATCCTTGTGCAAACCAATTAGCTGTCTGGTCAGGTGTTTTTAGATAGTCAAATATGAGGACATATTTCATCAGATGTAAAGAAAAAAAACAAACGCTTGAGTGCCGTGTTCTTAACCATGAAGAATATTCTTTATAGTCCCTGAAAGACTTTTTCCTTGATCCCTTCTTCTGAATCTCCCAGGACTTCCCTTAGCTTGGCAGGGAACTTATTTCCAGTGCACACCAGACTGTCTCTCATGGGGTCTGAACAGGCTTTGCTTTGTGCTGCGCCATGCATATTTCCATTTTGTTATTTTTCCCTCCAACACATAAGATTATGGTTTTATCTTGGCATTTCCTCGGCACTGTAGATGGGCAGGGTGCTATAGAAGGGGAGAGCTTTGCCTAATAAGTTACAGATTCCCTTCCCAGAAAGGCCTTTTGCAGCTATGAACATGAGCTGGGCATGATACAGGGCAAAGTGCTTCCATTAAAATACATACGCAGCGTGGCAGGGGTCATTAGTACTCCCAGCTCTTCAGCTCTGCAGAGATTAAATGCTTCCATGCAGGGGCTGTCTGCTTTCTGCATGTTTTCTCTTTCACATCTCTCTCTTGTGGCTAATATGAATTTATGGGAAAGGTCCAGAAAGCTCGGTGAGACCATGGAGGGTGAGTGCTTATTCCTTGTAAAGACTAAATTGCTGGGAGGGGCTTTTTCCTGTTCCAGCTTAGGAGCATGTGGAGCATCAGGCTGGTCACTGGTAATGGATTTGGCTGGGAGCACCCTGAGCTCAGAAGAGGGGGGAGATGGGGATGTTTGGCAGCATCAGGCCCAGACCAGCGTAAGAGGAGGATGACAGCTGCACTATAGGGGATCTTGTACAGGTTTCTGGTATCAAAGTAATTGAGGCAGGTCTCGTAACATCCTCCTGTTAGAAACTTTCTAGCGTTTGGGGGGGATTCCATTCATATTAAAATTTGAGGTGGGGGGCCTAATAATTGATTTATGAGATGATGTTGTCTATGGAAGGGAATGCAAAGCTGCAGATGCCTTTCATGCTCTTCCATTCTGGGCGCTGGTGCAGGATACACAAGGAGCAGGTCAGCCTCTTTTCATAAGGGCAGCCGACGTGTCTGATGCATCTGGCAATAACCTAGCTCTGGAAGTGCAGCACACTCGTCGCTGTTAGTGCCAAATGGTATCCTTCCTGTCCCTCCAGGTAGTTAGGGAGTGAGCCAGGGGGGCACAAGGGGCCCTGGCCATAGCTTTTGTTCTGACCAGTAACCACTGACACATGCCTCTGACTTTTGCCTAGGAAGGGCCCAATCCTTCCAAGTGCCTGTGCCCTTTTCAGCACCCCAAGCTCCTACTGAAGGCACACAGTAGGTTGCAGGTTGCAAGCCCTGTATGTGTCCTGTACCTGTGAGTGCTTGCACACCATATCAAATAACTGCCAGTAGGCTCTCCTTTCCTTCCTTTGGGCAGAGGGCTCTGTAACCCCAAAGGAGCAGGATGACACCAGCACTGTTACCATCTCCAGCCTGCCTCCCTTACTACAGCAAAAGTTTTTGGGGGTTTTCTTTTTCCCCACACATATAGTCTTTGGTGAAGGAGTGAATTAGCTCATATGAATGAGACTGCACTTAGGGGGCTCGAACCTAGCATGTGTTTGTAAATTCTAGCTTGCTGCAGCGCTGATACTCAGCGGTTATTTGTTAAATCTGTTCCTCATAAATGATTCTCATTTAAATTATTCAAACAAATAGCCCAGCCCTGCCCTGAAGGGCTTTTATAATGTAAGCACCATGCTGGATGGAGATCTGAGAGTGAAGAGTCCTACATCTGTGCAGAGGCCCACGGTCTCTACAGAGTAGCAGCAGAGCTCATACAGACAGCACAAAGCATGGGGCAGGACTGGCAGGTGGTTTGCTCATCCGTGGCTTCTCCCATTGCCTCTCCTTACTTCCCTTTCTTTCTTAAGTACATTGTTGTTGCTCCCAAGGGGCTGTCAGCTCCTGCTGCGACAGGGTTCGAGACACAGTGAATATAACCAGATCAGCTTTTATTCACTGCCAGTTTGGTGATGCGGTCAGCCAGCAAGGGGATAGATGCAAAGGCGTGTGAATCCCAAACCTCCAAGATTGTGCATTTTTTATGCGCCCATGGGCACATTGTTGGTCCATACATTAGCTAATACATGTTTAGGTGCCCAGGTGCATTCCCTGATTACACATTAACTAGCTAATCAGAACAATAATCATGCACCAAACCTCTGCTCACAGTTAGGTGGTGTCTGGGTCCTGAATTCCTTTCCCTTCCCTAAACCTCAATGCACCATTCATCCAACTTGTTTATCGTATTAGGTCCCTTACTGAGCAGGCAGGTACAGCCTATCGCTCTGCTCAGCCTCGCCTCCCTCATTCTTCCCAACCATTGTAGGCCTCCTTAATTAGTCCCAGCAGCCACTCCTGCTGTGTAGATCATCGAATCATAAAAAATGAGTGCTTATGGGGACCTCAGGGGGTCACATCTAGTCTAACCCTCTAAAAGCAGCACCAGCCCCAACTACATCATCCCAGCCAAAGCTTTGCCGGGTCTCTAGCCAGGTCTTAAGAAACCTCCAAGGATGGAGACTCCACCACCTCTCTGGGGAGCCTGTTCCAGTGCTTTACTACCCTCATAAGAAAGTTTTCCTAATCTCTAACCTCAACTTCCCTTGCTGCAGCTTGAGCCCATTGCTCCTTGTTCATCATCTGCCCCCACTGAGAACAGCCCAGCTCCATCCTGTTTGCAACCCCCTGCAGGGAGGTGAAGGCTGCTATTCAATCCCCCTCGGTCTTCTCTTCTGCCGACTAAATCAGCCCGGTTCCCTCAGCCTCTCCTGAGATGCAGCCCAATCCCAAATTGTTTCACATACCTCACTAGGAGATTACTGTTTAATCCTTCCAGGTGTGCCCAGCAAGGCTGACAAATGAGTCAGCAGTATTCAGCAATAAAAAGAAAATAGAAGGAGTTTTACATCTGACTGTCCCTTCTGCCATTTGGCATTGAGGAAGCAGAGTGAAAAGACTCAAATCTGGACCATCACCTGCCTCTTGGACCCAGTGCGCACATACTGCACAGTCTGTGAATTAGGGCAAGGAAACAGGTCTCCCAGTTTCTGTACAGCATCCAGTGCCATTTCTGTTTTACTGGTTGTGTTACTGAGCGCCTGAACCCCTCTGGGCTGAGGGTTGAATAGTACGCAACCATTGATCCTCTGGATCATGGTGTACCTGTAAGAGGGCTAGTCCGGTGCCTGATGATTTGAATCCATTTGCGGCTGACAAGCCCAATTCGAGGGTGACACGTCTCATTACAAGTTTCATAGATCCGTGTGTTGTCTGAGTTGGAGTCCAAGTTTATAGCACACTGCTTTCTTCTTTCTCGCTTTTCTTCCATCCTTTGGATCAAAGCCGCTTCGTGTTGACAGCTGCTCCCTCCAGATTGGACGGGATTCTGTGAGCTCCTCCTAGCTGTCTTCATTGCTGTTGAATGACTTCGTATCATTTTTGTACACAGTGCTGTAGAGAGTGACCCTGCTTTCAAAAGCACAATGCCATGCAAGCAAATGTTGCCCTTTTCTTTCTCAAAAACCACTTCTGCTCTGGCATCTAGCTAGTGGGGTGGGAGTGTTGTAGTTGCAATGCTCTGGGAAATATGTGAGAAGTATGGGTTTTTGTGGGGAATATCTTATATTAGATCAACTAGAGTTGTGGAAGTTGTTAGACCAGCCCTTCCTCAGGTCTGGGAAAGAAGCAGAAAGGCAGCCTACACTAAGTAACTTGTGACTTTTGTTTGACTCTAATATATAAATGAAAATAGATACTTCAGCTGGAAGGGGCTATAAAAATGTGTAAAAACCATAGCTGACATCTCCAGAAGTCAGCCAACCTGTGATGGTTTGGGGCATATCAGTGAGCCAAAATTGATTTCATGAGTTAAAAAACCAAATGAAATTCAATATTTTATACCATCAGGAACTGCCGACTTGCACATGAGGAAATCTGGGTAAACACATGATCTTGCTTTCACTGTTTATTTCTTCCTCCACTTTCCATGTTCATTTTAACCCCCCTTATTTGTTGTGTCTTCTCTCCGATAGCAAGCTCCCAAGGGGAGGGAGTTATTCCTGCTATGTGGTTATATGGAGTCTCCCCACATCAGTGCCCTGATTCTGACTTCAGGCGTGATGGTAACGCAGTGGGGGGTTTGTGAAAGACAAATGTACCGTTCCCTGCCATGTATAAAGACTTTGCCAAGAGGATGGGAGGCACCTGCTTTAGAGCACATTGATGATGCACAGAGCAGGCACGTAACAGAGTCCCAGTCTCAAGATTTAGCTGCTGAGGTGAAGCACAGCCTTTCTTAATAACTTAGGGTGTCCGCTTACCCATTTTCCTAACAGATAAAGCTTGGTTTTGCACAAGTAGAGTGGATGCAGTGTCCAAAGTGGACATACCTCTGGTTACAGGTGCACAGGATAATTCAATTTAGTGTAGCATCTACTGGTCATTGACCTACAAGCTGATTTTATCAGCTCTATAGCTGTCCCTTCCCTGCCAGCCTTGTGTGTGCTGTGTTGTGTGTGTGTGTGTGTGTGTGTCTGTGGATTTGAAACTTCAGTCACATTTTTAGCTCCACTTCTTAACATGATGCTAAATCTTGAGAGCTGCTGAGCTACAAACACGCCCAGTGGACATCTCAGAAATGCAGCGCCTCTCAGGAGGTGGCCTCTGACCTGGACAAGGAAAGTGATAATGCTGACATATCAATCTTCCTGATTGCGATCTGTTTAAATCAGCGGCAATTCGAATGCACTCAGCAATGTTATATTCGTGTCAAACCAGAGTGAGATCAGAATGAGGCCTGT